TGTTCTACAGCATTTATTAGCAATAAATTCGTTTTGCTTTAAAAAATAAAAGAAAATGAAAAGATTTATTAGTTATACCTGATGGAGTTGCAGTACAACCCAGAGTTAGTCTTTTTAGGAGGTGGTTGTGACGTGACGCTGTTGAACGTCCCTGAATTATTCTAACTGTAGCCATTTCAAATTGACTGCATTATGACATTGGAAATTCGTGCCTTCAAGTAACGTTCTAGGATCAATTTAAGTGGGGCCAAGAGTGCTCCAATAAAGCAGGGAGCGCGAAGTGGACCGCTACTTAAGGAAGAATGAAGACAAACCATCGAAAATTTAGAAATAAGAGCCTTTCTATGGTTTTACAGAACAGACAGATATGATGAGAGACAATGACCACCGAGAAAGAAAAGAAGGTTCCGAGATGAGGAGAGCGTAAGATCAACGAGACGACGTAGATCATGCGATGCTACCATGGTGGGTGGACGGAGCAGCGGAGCGCACTCACCAGACCAGCGTTTGGCGCCTAATAAAGTCGATTCTTAAGCGTCTACCGTCAGCACGGTAAAGTCTGCTAACGCCTGCCTCTAGGTTATTCGCACCTCACTCACTCACGTCCATCCTACGTTTATGCCTTTAAAAAGGCGCTCCTGAGCAGGTAGAAGAATAACGAAGTATCATGATGATGTACGAACCGGATGTGGTCCTGCTCAATATGCACCACAGAACTACTTTTCCTGTGGATGAAAACCAATTTAAAATGGAAGAGTTGACCCCGTCCAATTTTGAGGGAAAAGTTCCAGTTTTGCTCCCGTTTGGACAAAAACATGTAGAGATATTATAGAAGTACCAGTTTGGCTGCGCACGCATTCGCGCGCATCACACGGGGGTTCAAATAGGTTGGAAGGTGGTAAGGCTGGTCTGTAAGCAATGTTCTCTCTCTTACTTACTGCAGAGCTGCTGAGTGAGATTCCAAGGTACGACTGCTTTGGAGACACTCCCCTTTCGAAAATCATGGGTAACTCCCCCGTCCTGCCCACTGAGACTTCATTTCCTTCGCTGACCTCTATACTTTCTTCCTGGTGTCCAAGTCTTCTTGGAACCGAGTAATAATGTTTCGTGCATAACTCCGCCCACTTTTGTGCAAGCTTAGCCCACCAATTAGCATTTAACCCCTTTCCCTCCGGCAACCCTTATCCACTTTTTTCCCGGCGCTGGGGCTTCTAGGAACCGAGTTATGAGAGTGGTGGCAAACTCCGCCCACTTCGGGGTGTGCCACGCCCAGCGTTCACATTCAACCTCTACTCCTCCTCTCACCTCTTCACATATTTTTTCAGGTTTCTAAGTCATCTCGGAGCCGAATTATGAGGTCTTGTAGAAGACGTTATGAGACATGAGTTTTCGTGGCAAACCCCGCCCACTTTGGTGCACACTTAGCCCACCAATAGCATTTAACCCCTTTCCCTCCGGCAACCCTTATCCACTTTTTTCCCGGGCGCTGGGGCTTCTAGGAACCGAGTTATGAGAGTGGTGGCAAACTCCGCCCACTTCGGGGTGTGCCACGCCCAGCGTTCACATTCAACCTCTACTCCTCCTCTCACTACTTCACCATTTTTCACGTCTCTAAGTGTTCGCGAGCAAATTATGATGTCTTGCAGCCGACGAAATCTCGAGCTAGTATTTTGTGAAACCCGTGGGTGGTTGGGTGTTCCCACTTTGGTGCGTGGGTCGCCCACTGATATCAGTCGGCTATCATCTCTTCCCCCTTTTTCTACTTTTCTCCCATCTCTGGAACTTATTGGAACCGAGTTATGAAGTACCGTGGCAAACCCCGCCCACTTTGGTGCATGCTCCGCCCGCCAACAACGGTTGACCCCTTTCCCTCTGCCAACCCTTATACGCTTTTTTCCCGGACTCCGGGACTCCTAGGAACCGAGTTATAAGCCTAATTGCAAACTCCGCCCACTTTGATGTAAGCCACGCCCATCCCTGACATTTAGCTTCCCCTCCCCTCCTGACCTCTATCCGTTGTTTTCCGGTCTCTAAGTCATCTCGGAGCCGATTTATGAGCTCTTGTAGAAAACGCTGTCCGCTTCACGACACGCTCCGCCCATTGTGGGCGGGCCTCCGTTCACATCATGCGTGGTGGAAATACCTTAGGCATTGCTCCCCTGCACTAATTTCGTTTCTGGTCTGTAGGCTTCTTAACCGAGTTATGAATATTTTCACTGAGCACCCTTTTCTAGAGAACGCCCCGCCCACCGAGGGTGGGTCTCCTCAGTTCAATCTGGCTTACCAACCCACACCTATGCCCACTTTTGTCCCGGTCTCGAGGCTGTTTTGTGACTGAATTTGAAATCATGGTCCTCAGTACCGATCATTTCGCACGCCACGCCCACTGTGGGCGGGGCTCCGCTTAGGCTAATGTATGTTTTTTTACTTCTCGAGATATGGTACACCCATCCCAAACTTGACCTGGACCCAGTAGGTTGTTGTCCGCTTAATACGGAATTTCGTGACAGACAGACAGACAGACAGACAGACAGACAGACAGACAGACAGACAGACAGACAGACTTAGCGCATTATATATAGTAGGGATAATTGTCTACCTCGATTTGCTGACAGTTTTCGTGCTTCCTTCATGACGTGATGTACACAGAACTCCGACAATGAAGTATTAACAAAATTACCACATTTTTGTCCGTCCAGTTTCACCCCCTGAAATTAATCGTTCGGATGTACTAGAGCGAGTGTAATAAAATGCTCGCATAAAGAATAACTGACCTTACACATGCCCAGATCACTAGAGTAACCCAGCTCAACAACTTGTGCAGGCTTGAAGACCTTCAGCGTGACACGTGCTGCTGGAACTTCTTCATTTGAGGAACCATCAAGTAGCGCAGATACTGATTATTGTTTCAACTGACCCTGTGGCTTAAATTTATCCAAATTAGGATTCGAATTCCTATCACTGTCAGCGAACGTTGGGGTCATTAGCGCAACACATATTCCGGCTTGCAATTTCCAGTACTCTTTGTAGGCCTCACCAAAAAGCAGCACCACAACAGGTGCCTGCTGGCAATCCTTAACGTACATAATTAGGAACAATACACCATTGTTGTTGTTTTCTCAGAAGATTTATGGAGCGTGCGGTACCCATCAGAATGTCATGCTATTCATAGTTACCTTTAAATCGTGTAGCTTCCATATAAGGTAGTCTTTACCATTAGCACTTTTCCTAACTTCGCGATTGACAACGACACCAGCGGTGGTCCAGCTATCGGCTGAAATTATCAGAATAAAAAACGTGTGCAATACACAGCCTAGATTTATTTGGCCGCAAAATCAGCAGAAATTAGTTTTGATAGTCACAACGACTCAGAGAATGAAGTAGAGACCCCTCCCAATTATTGATCAGCAGTAAATTTTCATACAAGAAGATTTTTGACCTGTTATCACTGCATTTGGTCTGAGATCGGAGACACGGAAACGTTTATGGCCATCTGTGTAGGACTCGAAAGTAGAAGACGATATTTTAGGATTCCTAAAAAAGTGAGTTCTCCGTAAAATAATAAAATTGTGAAAAGTATGCCGAAAGAAATCTCGAACCTTATATTCAGACGGAAAAAATTATCGAAGAGTGTTGGCGCCACACTTCCCACATTTTCTCTCTTTTCGACACCTGACAACACTGTTTCCTTGGGTTTCTTCTTTAATATCTGGAAATACTGATCATCGCGCCCTTTGGAAGACTTTGAATTCAATAAACATGAAAGCTGATGATGCGACGGATTACCGGAGTAGGTGAGACGAGCCGTCCTCGCGAAGGGGGCCGTTCTCTATCCTGCTTGTCGAGCTGCCTTTGAAGTTGCTTCCCAGATTCGCTCAGATCTCTTAAACCATTTGCCGCTGACATTAGCTAGACAAACCAGATCGCATAGGAAATCAACATACTTCCTGTTGTCCATCATTTCGTCATCGCTGATATCAGAATTCAGCAAAATCTGCTTCGACGAACAGGGTTCATCTTTGGTTGGAGCAGGATCAAAATCCAAGTCCACAAGTCTTGGACCTACATTGAAAGTTCTATAAGTGAAACAACAAGAATTCTATGAACGAAGTCCACCCCATACCCACCAGTTTTCGATGTCGATGTAGATTTCTTGCTCTCTTCTTCATCCACTTTAGCGTCGTCACCGAAAATTGTGGCCCGTGCTTGCACGATGAGTTCCCTTCTCTTTCTATCGAGCTCTTCAATGCTTGCTGAAGTGATTATGACTTCTCAAAGCAGGAGCGTTAACTACCATGTATATTGTGTGTGTTTATATTAAATCTATCAAAGCTAGAAAAAAAGCCACAAGACTGTAGTAGCTCAAGGCAACCCATCTTTACATGCTTATCACATACACTGAATTGCTTCCTCGGTCAATGTTCTTTCATGATGTGATGAATCATGGGAAACATCGGCAGAATGTGCTTCGTTAGCAGTGGAGATAATGGATCGTGCCGAAAGAAACGACTCAAATCCCGACAGATCATCCGTTCTGCAACTGCCGAAACATGAGCATCGAACGGACCAAAACTGTGATTTCTGTGTAACTGTTCACTTTACCTATTCAGCGTCAATTCGGTAGGCGCTGTTACGAACGAATCGCATTCAGGAGAGTCCACATCTTCTTCTGCATCACATAAAAGGAAAGGAACTCGTCCATACAATTCAGTCGCTGAGAAACTAAGCCTTTTCAAAAGATTTGGTGCAATGCTCAAAAGGGTTTGACCAGCATTATTGGAGAGTCCCATAATCGAATGGATAAGATGCTTAGAGAATAATTTATTACAACGAAGATATCAGGCTTTCAACACCACACATACAGGAAAGGAAAAGTGATAATCCTCAGAATTACCAAAAATAATTGCAAAACGCGTAAGATTAGGACAAAGAGAAAACCAGTTGGATGAACAATATTTCTGAGCCGCTACCACATTTGAGGATAACTGCACAAAATGCGATCAATCATCACGAGGTTCATACACAATGTCACGACCAAGTTCGTCCGAGAACTCATACCACAACTTGCTCACATCGATCGGTGGAAGACGATGTTTCTCGGTTGGAGTGATGTGCACCACTGGAAAAAGTTTTTACATCACTTACAGTAAATCGAGTGTTGTCGAGTTCTGTGAGCCTTAAAGGAATCTTCCACGGACCATGGACCAGTGGGCGGGACCGGAAGTGGTTTTGCGACGAAATGCATGGTAGGTACGGATCCACGTTCATGGGAAGGTTTGAAGTGAATCCTGTTCACGTTCGTGCGTTCGACACGTGGATCCGTACCTACCATGCATTTCGTCACAAAAACTTCCGGTCCCGCCCACTGGTCCATGGTCCGTGGAAGATTCCTTTAAATGCTGTATGAGAACATTGCGAAGAATGCTAAGGGATAAAAGTATTAGTGAATTACTGAGACAACGCTTCAAACATTTCGAAGATCTCTGTTTTCTACTTTTCACACAATTTCTGCACGGCTGATTAAGGTAAGGAACCATAATATCTATAAAAATAGTTGAAGAATATGCTTTAGGAGTCAAAAAAGTAGGGACTGAGTTGAACACCCATTTTTGCATTTAAGGTAGGTGGAGCAACCATTGGCCGATGTCAGACTTTGCGATTGGAGCGATTGTGCACCAATTGCAGGAGCGACGGGAGATTTACACCGCCGACCACCGATAATTCGGCGCCATCAGCTCGTAAATCTCCCGTCGCTCGCAGCTCCCTGCCACAACGGCCAAGGAGGCACATCACGGCCCGAGCGATGGGAGATTTACCCGAGCGGCGCCGTGTGTATCGGTGGTCGGCGGTGTAAATCTCCCGTCGCTCCTGCAATTGGTGCACAATCGCTCCAATCGCAAAGTCTGACATCGGCCATTCTGAAACATGGCGGATGTCACAATTTGCGACCAATCGCTAGCAAATTGCACGAAGATCTATCCGAGTGTCTAAAAGTTCGACGTGATGCATTCGTGAACTCTGACCGTCGTAGTATAATTACAAAAACAGCTGACTTGACGCTGTTAGTGTTGCAAAGAAACCCTGAAGAAACCCTTTTTCAGCCCTCCTTACCTTCTCCAGCTGGCCTAATAACTGGGCCCACGAAATTAAACTGAAGCGTTGCTTGAAGATCTAATGTGAGCAAAGCCTAGCAAAGTAAACGGCTCCGAAACTTTCGTCACACATTGGGGTGTGGCCGCGGCAAGCGCGGCCGAGTGGGTATTGCTTCCGCTGTGCGGGTGAATTTGAAAACGCTCCCCTGAAGGCGCCCGCGAACTGAGCTGATGGGGCATTTTCGCGTTTACGCGCAGCGGAAGCAATACCCACTCGGCTGCGCTCGCCGCGGCCACACCCTAATGTGTGAAAAAAGTCTCGGAGCTAAAGTAAAGTCACATTGATAAAAAGAAATCAAATGACTCACAATTACACACGCCGCCAGACCCAGAATCTCTGTAGGTTGCATGCATGATTGCCCGGCGACCTAACTTCAGAGCTTCTTCGTCAGTCATTTTTGGCTTGTAATGTGTGTCGAGGATACCATAAGCATTCAAAGAGCCAGAACCAACGCTACACATGTGCAACTGGCACCTGTCACCGTCACTATCAACCTAAATGGACATTCTTTCAGATTCAATACAAAAGGCAACAGAAATACACACAAATTGATATCTTCATTGAGATATACCCAGTCGACATCCCTGCACAAGCACACAATGTAGCAAAGAAGCCGTGCCAACTCACTTTGAAAATCTGCGGCCCTCTCTTGTCATAACCAGCAATCATCGAACCCTAAAATGACTCAGCTACATGAAATATAAAAGAGCCAAACTCACAAAAAAACTTACCACAGATAGTCCCATGCCACGGTATCCATAAAGAACATTGGCAAAGTATTTGCTGGCAGCGCTCACAGTAATTTGAGTTTTTTCCCGTAGTTCAAACAGGCTGAATCACCATTGCACGATTACACCGCTTCAGAATTCAAGGCTAAGTCATAACTTACTTGCAGTACTTGGCAACAGTTCGCGTCCAAAATTGGCAGTCTGCAGCACCTCCGGCCATTGTAGCGACCATACGGTCACCAATATCCAAAATCTTCATAACTGACTTCGAAGCTAAAAAACACGTTTTGTGCATGTGTTATTCTGCTATTTGAACTTGAAAGGTCTACCAAAGCGGCCTAAAATTTCGAAAAATCGTAAACTACATAAGCTCAAGTTACAAGCATGTTTTTCTTTTGGATGGGTTGGCCAAGACAGAAATCAACTTCTTCCCTCTTCGCAGCGCGAAAATTTTCGCCGTGGCATCCCAAGACTATCATTGATTAGGAATGGACACCCCTGATTCTTCTTGCAGCGAGATAGCTTCGTGCGACGCAAAACGGGAAAATTGCCCATCGTTAATCACACAATCACACGCGTTCCCTACATGTGAAAAGAAAATATGCGATAGCACGTACAGATATATTCTCCAGAAGATGCCCGTGAATCGACAGCAACGATAATTCCACCTTTGTCATTGGCTGTAGCAGGCTCATAAATGAAAGCGAGAGTAGTTGTACCCTTCCGGAACTGCATGTTCTTGGCATCCTTACCAAAATGGGTTGCCACAAAGTCTTTCGCCTGAAATTGCCAATTTGTAGAGTCGTAGGCAGCATAAGGTTAAAGCAAGAATCACCTGTATGCCCAGGGGAGGTTGTGGAAAAGCAAAAGAGCTTATTACTGGTTCATGCATGAATTGCTGCTTGATGACAGCTAGATCAGTAGATTCCTCGTCATGTTCATCGAAGCCGCAACCCCACATTCTGTTCAACAAAATTCAAAAGAAGCAACGAAATCACAGGGGTAGAGTTATATGAAAAACACTAGCGATAACTCAGCGCTTTCCAGTATTAACAAGATAATTGTTGGAAAGGATTCATTAAAAGTTGATAGAACCACATAGCAAGTATATGGCCGATTGTCAACTAAAGAATTAATACTCAATAAATGAAAGCAAAAAAAAGCGAATTGTATATGGTTTAGAAATCTCTAACATACATAGCAGTATAGCATTAAACAACACTTCTGGTCGAACCTTTCAGGCAGTCCAGTAACAATGATAGAATGACAATTCAAGGTGCCCCAAGCTATACCAGAACTAATTTGGGTCAGCAAGAACTGCGTATCTTTAATAAATAACAATAAGACTTTCATGAACAAAGTGAAAAGTCCTCTAACAACATATTCAGCTAGTCCCGTTTCATCGGTGTCCAAGCCGCGGCTAGATGGTACGAAAAGTACATAGCGAATCCGTGGATTTGAAGAGCAACAGCGAAGAACACACGTACCATATGATAACCATTGGAAATACTCCCTAAGAAACGGACTGGAGATCATATCGGACGAAATGAAAGTCAATGCAAATGAGAATTGGCGCAATGTGCCTGGGGGGGGGACGTAAGCAAACCAGCCCTTTTGGCGTTTCGGCTGGGACCGTATGCTGAATGTTGGGGAGGGGATGGGGTCCCCAACGGTCGACGGTTTACTTCAACTCGGTTGGTACGATAGGAGAGTACTGACGCAAGTGTGTGCAGCTGGTCCAGCAGCTCGCCAGAAGGGCTGGTTTGCTCACCCCAGGACTAAGCCTTGGAGAGGGGACGGACCCGTCCTCTCTTTAAGGCTTAGTTCTGAGGTAAGCACCAAATTGTGGCGGTTCTAAGGACCGCGTTGAAGTTGGTCCGTCCACCGTCGGGGACACCATCCCCTCCCCAACATTCAGCATACGGTCCCAGCCGATGTGCCAAAAGGGCTGGTTTGCTACGTCGGGGGGGGGGGGGGGGCCAGTCGCCGCGCGCGCTCGTGCGGCAACAGGAAATTCGTGAGCCAGGGGGAGTGTAGCCAATTCAGGGGGGTTGGGGGTGAGGGCAGTCACATGACGGTGAGGGCAGTCACATGACATGCGTGAGAAGCTGGAATGTTCGAATTTCCTGTTGCCGCACAGCCGCGCGCGGTGACTGCCCCCCCCCCCCGAGGCACATAGCGCCCAGAACTTTACCAACAACAAATTACCTATACCTTCCTTGAATGTAGGTGTATTGCTATTTTCTTGGTCATTCATATACTCAAGAAGTTCCGGAAGCTGACCACCCAAACCCAATCATACATGGCAAGATTCCAAAAAGAAAATGTCCATAATAGTGGTAGTTAATCAATTTCACCTGCAAGCATCACCATTGGCAGCCTCAATCAATAATAAAGCGTAAGTAAACAACTTGCCCTATTCTTTGAGAACGACAACATGGCACAAATGATTGGAATGAAAGAAAAACACCAAACGTATTCCCATGGATAGGCCGAAGGCATATCCAGTCTCTCAAAGAAAGCGCTCTTCCAACCAAATTCTTTCCGTAAGACTTCACTTCCAACCTTAACACAGAAACCAGCAATGTAGTGCATAACAATGATATAGAGCTATCTACATTTAGTTGACTGGATCAATTATAAAAAAAAAAACTCTTGAAAATAGTCACCTTAGCCCACATGAATATCAATATCAGCAGATGAGGAGCGAAAAACCACTTCAGAATGAATTTGTACTGTGCACTGGAAAAGTCATCTTCTGTATCACACACACACAACAAAGCTATTAAAAAGAAGGCAACCGCCCGTTAGCCCGCGGTCATACTTTGCGACCTTTGCAGGTAAACTGTGGAACTGGACCTGCGACCACATGATCGAGACGTAACTGGTTCACAGTCGAATTGCAAACAAAAACTAGTGACAGAGACTTTAGCAACGGGCGGGCTAGATGGCCTTGTTGGATGTACGTTAAAAGGCTCGTCCAAAGACTATCAATTTTCAGAAGTTTAGTTGAATAGAGGTTTCTAGTTCTAACACTGTGTCGCACAGCACTCCTCCCCTTCCTCTCTACTTGACCGGCTCTTGGGGAAGTGGAAGGCACAGAGTGAGGTGTGGCCTGATATAGGATGAGCAAGAGGTGTAGTGCAATAGCCGCAAGTGTGTGGGAATGGGAACTAAAAAATTGCATCAGGACGACCCTGCTCTAGGCCGGATGGGTCCCGACAAGGACTATATACGAATCGATCGAGAGAATACGAGAATAACGACCCGCTTTTATGCGCCTCGATTTCAGGTTCGATACGCATATAACTCTTTTTGCAGATGCTCCCGATTTTCTAGTTCCAGACTGTGCAGACTGTCTTCAAGGCAGTGATCACGACGGCTGGAGGCGGCTCGGCTTTAACCCCTTGCGGACCGCCGTTATGTGTGCACCTCCGCAGGTTTTTGTAATTTTGTTTACCAGTAACCAATGAATTTATCAAAAAATTCAATCGCTATGCAAATATATGATATATTCTGTGTCTAAAAAAGTATTTTGAAG